TTGGTTGAATCCAGGAGACAGAGGTTGAAACGAGCTCAGATTGCACCTCTGCACTCCAGCCTGGGTGACACAGTAAGACTCTGTCTAAAAAAAAAAAAAAAAAAAAAAAAAAAAAGTGACCCTCAACACTGGATGGAGTTTTGGATGAATCTTAATATAAAATTGAATAAAGCATGCAAGGCCACATGAAGCTAAACAGAGTATCACATGATTTTCATAAAACTCAAAAACAAGCTGATCTAAATAATACATTCCATAGGCACACACATAGGTGTGCTAAAAATATTAAAAATATAAAGCAGACTGGGCACAGTGGCTCACGCCTGTAATCCTAGCACTTTGGGAGGCCGAGGTGAACATATCACCTGAGGTCAGGAGTTCAAGACCAGCCTGGCCTACATGGTAAAACCCCATCTCTACAAAAATACAAAAATTAGCTGGGCGTGATGGCAGACGCCAGTAATCCCAGTTACTTGGGAGGCTGAGGTATGAGAATCACTTGAAGGCAGAGGTTGCAGTGAGCCAAGATCGTAGCACTGCACTGCAGCCTGGGGACAGAACTCGACTCTGTGTCAAAGGAAAGATGAGCATTAACATCAGGGCAGAGGTTACCTCTTTGTATGTAACCAATAGGCAAAGAGGTGAAAGGTTTAGGGTACAGTAGTAGGTACAAGTTTTTGGTAATGTCCTAGCTCTTGAGTTAGGAGGGAGATTCAATGAGTTAATGAAACTTTTTGCTTTAAAAATTACATATGTTTTTGTTTGCATAAAAATATCTTAAAGATTAATTAAAAATAGCCAACTAGTTTTTAGCATGCCATACACACCATTCCTGTTGTTTTCCCCTGCAATACTCTGGAGATTATTCTAAATTAGTACACATAGATCTACCTCATTTTTTCTAATGGCTACATAGTATTTCACTGTCTGAATATACCATAATTTATTTAATCAGTCCTCCCTAATGATGAACATTTGATCATTTCTGTCTATAAATGAGGTTGCGATTAATGTTACTGTTCTTGCATCTTGGTATAGTATATCTATAAGATCAAATCTCTAGAAGTGCAATAACTAGGGCAAGAAGTGTGAGTGTTACAATTCTGAACAGATGACCCAATCGTTTGTTCAACTTTAAACACTGGGAGTTTACGGCCATGGTGAGAAATCCAAATGGGAGTACCCTCAGATATTGTCAGCGAGAAGTACCTGAGCACACCTGTGACTGTGTGCTTGGCTGCTCTGGCACGTGCAGGGGATTTGGAGCAGAGTAGGTGTGGGAGTTGGGTAAGGGTGACTACTTATGCGTTCAACGCTTGAGAAAAGCAACAACTCTGGTGATGTAAGGCCTCTAGGCCTGATGGGCAGGTGCTCCATAGACCCACAGATAGCAGAACTCTTGCCTACTCCCTGAGGGTCAGTCCAAAGAGAAGGGAGAGGGGCGGCTCTTCTGACCTGGGGGCCCCTGAGGCATCAGGGCCAGGCTTCCCATACTTAAACTGACCCAGCACAGATGCCTGGCCCCAGAAGGGGTGATCCTTAAAATATCTTTCCTGAAAGAGACAAAAGCCAGCTAGATGAGTTAGCCTCTGTACCAGGAGCATTTGATTACAAATCATGAGTTCAAGTGGGATCCCTTGTGGCTGGGCAAGTAAAACTGTGCGGCTTTTCCCTTTTTGTTTTCTGTTTAAGAGACGGAGCTCACTCTGTTGCCCAGGGTGGAGTGCAGTGGTGCAGTCATAGGATACTGCAGCCTCAAACTCCTGGACTCAAGAGATCCTCTGGCCTCGGCTTCCCCAGTAGCTGGGACGATAGTCCCACGTCACTACAACTGGCTAATTTTAAAAAGTATTCATTTATCTAATTATTTTTGAGATGGAGCCTCGCTCTGTCACTCAGGATGGAGTGCAGTGGTGCAAACTCCACTCACTGCAACATCTGCCACCTGGGTTCAAGCGATTCTGCAGCCTCAGTCTCCCAAGTAGCTGGGACTACAGGGTCATGCCACTGCGCCTGACTAATTTTCTTGTATTTTTAGTAGAGATGGGGTTCCACCATGTTGGCCAGGCTGGTCTCAAACTCCTGACCTCAGGGGATCTGCCTGCCTCGGCCTCCCAAACTGCTAGGATTACAGGTATGAGCCACTGCGCCTGGCCTCAATTTTTTCTTTTTTTTTTTTTTGAGACGGAGTTTCGCTCTTGTTTCCCAGGCTGGAGTGCAATGGCACAATCTCGGCTCACTGCAACCTCCACCTTCCGGGTTCAAATGATTCTCTTGCCTCAGCCTTCCTGAGTAGCTGAGATTACAGGCATGTGCCACCACGCCCAGCTAATTTTGTATTTTTAGTAGAGAAGGGGTTTCTCCATGTTGGTCAGGCTGGTCTCAAACTCCCAACCTCAGGTGATCCACCCACCTCAGCCTCCCAAAGTGCTGGGACTATAGGCATGAGCCACCGTGCCTGGCCTGGCCTCAATTTTTATATATATATATATTTTTTTTTTTTGTAGAGACAAGGTATTGCTTTGTTGCCCAGGCTGGTCTTGAACTCCTGGGCTCAAGCGATCCTCCTGCCTTGGCCTCCCAAAGTGTTGGGATTACAGACATGAGCCACCATGTCCAGCCAAGGTTTCCTGTTCTAAACAAAACTGTGATGAACAAACTCAGTCCTCCTTTCCATACAGCATCACCCCCAGCCTTTACTCCTGTGGGCCCCTACTTCCCCTTCTGTAATGGAGACAGTGTTCTCTGTTCTCCCCTCGGGTCCTTCCCCAGGGCCCAGGATTAGAGTGAGGGAGTGAGGCACTAGCCCTGAGTGCAAAATTTACAGGCACGCCAAAAAACAAACAAACAAAAAAACAATAACCAAGATAAATAATATTTTAATGCAGTATTTTAAAACTTCAAAATTAATGCAAAAAAATCCACGATGGACAAAATATCAAAATTTTAAATAAAAACAGGAGCTAACCCTGCACTTTCACATCCATGTCTCATGAATCCCTGGCCCTGGTTCCAATAAAACCTTATTTACAAAAACAGGTGGCCAATGCCACGCCCCCCAACCCCACCCCTCACCCTGTCATTTGCCAATATGATTTTTTAAAACATTCTTAAATATTTTGTGCTGGGGTAAAATATACATAATATAAATTTACCACTTCAACCATTTTCAGTGTACAGTTCAGAGACATTAACAACATTCACATTGTGAAACAAAATTTTTTTTTCTTTTTTTTTTTGAGATAGAGTTTCACTTTGTTGCCAGGCTGGAGTGTAGTGGGGCGATCTCAGTTCACGGCAACCTCCGACTCCCGGGTTCAAGCGATTCCCCTGCCTCAGCCTCCCAAGTAACTATGACTACAGATGCATGCCTCCATGCTCAGCTGATTTTTGTAGTTTTAGTAGAGACAGGGGTTCACCAAGTTGACCAGAATGGTCTCGATCTCTTGTCCTCGTGATTCACCCACCTCAGCCTCCCAAAGTGCTGGGATTACAGGTGTGAGCCACTATGTCCGGCTAACAATATAATTTTTAAATATTACATTCAGGTTTTAGATATAGTAATGACTGAGTTCTGGGGTGCCCCATTAAATTTTGCCCTTGAATATTATTAAAAAGTCAAGAAACAGTAGATGTTTGCATGGATGCAATGGAAGGGGGATGCGTATACATTGCTGGAGGGAATGTAAATTAGTACAACCTGTTTGGAAAACAGTATAGAGATTCCTTAACAAACTAAAAGTACACTTTGGGCCTTGGCGCGGTGGCTCACGCCTGTGATCCCAGCATTCTGGGAGGCTGAGACGGGCGGATCACTTGAGGTCAGGATTTCGAGACCAGCCTGGCCAACATGGTGAAACCCCGTCTCTACTAAAACTACAAAAAAAGTAGCCGGGCGTGGTGGCACGCGCCTATAGTCCCAGCTACTCTGGAGGCTGAGGCAGAAGAATCGTTTGAACCCGGCAGGCGGAGGTAGCAGTGAGCTGAGATCGCGCCACTGCACTCCAGCCTGGACAATAGAGTGAGACTCTGTCTCAAAAACAAACAAACAAACAAACAAACAGTGCACTATGGGAGGCCATGGCAGGCAAATCGCTTGAGTCCAGGAGTATGAGACCATCCTGGGCAGTATGGTGAAACCTTGTCTCTATAAAAAAATACAAAAATTAACCAGGTGTAGTGGTGCATGCCTGTAGTCCCAGCTACTTGGGAGGCTGGGGTAAGAGGATTGCTTGAGCCCGGGAGGTCGAGGCTGCAGTGAACCAAGACTGTGCCACTACTCTCCAGCCTGGGTGATAGAGTGAGACCTTGTCACAAAAGGTAGGAAGGAAGGAAGGAAGGGAGGGAGGGAGGAAGGAAGGAAGGAAGGGAGGGAGGGAGGAAGGGAGGGAGGGAGGGAGGGAAGGAAAGTAGATTTACCATACGGTCCAGCAATCCCACCACTGAGTATCTACCCAAAGGAAAAGAGAGTCATTATATGAAAAAGACACTTGCACACGAATGTTTGTTTTTTGCAGCCAATTCACAATTGAAAAGATATGGAACCAACTTAAATAACCATGAACCAATGAGTGGATAAAGAAAATGTAGTTGATATACACCATGGACTACTACTCAGCCATTAAAAGGAACGAAATGATGTCTTTTGCAGCAACTTGCATGGAGCTGGAGGCCATTATTCTAAGTGTAGTGACTCAGGAATGGAAAACCAAACACTGTATGTTCTCACTCATAAGTAGGAACTAAGCTATGAGGACGCAAAGGCATACAGAGTGATATAATGGACCCTAGGGAGAATGGGAGGGGGTGTGAGACAAAAACAACAACAACAACTACACATTGGGTATAATGTACACTACTCGGGGGACAGGTGGACTAAAATCTCAGGATTCACAACTATACAATTCCTCCACGTAACCAAAAACCACTGGTAACCCAAAAGCTACTGACATTTTAAAAATGTTAAAAACAAAACAAGCATTTGCACCCCAGGCGAGCACCTCATTCCTCTCGCTCTCTCGGGCACCTCCTGGAGCCAGAGGGTCTCACGTGGCCAGCTCCTCCCTGGAAGCGATTGAAGTTATTCCAGCGGCGATCAGGCCACCGAAGACGTCCGCCCAGACAACCACCCGCGACGGGGAGACTCGCTCCGCCTGTGTCCGCCCGCCGTCCTCCCGCGCGGGACACACCTGGCGGGCGCGCCTTTCCCTGCCGGGGGCCACCTGGCGCGCAGCTCCCGGCGCCGGGCCCGCCCCTCGCGCCTCTGCCGGGGGCTCCCTGCCGGCCAATGGGAGCGCGGCATGCAAATGAGCAGGTGCGGTGGCGGCCCGCCCGGAACGGCCCCGGGGCTCCCGGGATGTTAGAGGCGCTCAGGGCGGCAGCAGAGCAGACGCCGGGCTGCGCGCTGGGAGCTGCGGTCTCCGGCCATGGCCCCCGCTCCGCCCCCCGCCGCCTCCTTCTCGCCCTCCGAGGTCCAGCGGCGCCTGGCGGCCGGCGCATGCTGGGTCCGCCGCGGGGCCCGCCTCTACGACCTCTCCAGCTTCGTGCGGCACCACCCGGGGGGCGAGCAGCTGCTGCGGGCCAGGGCGGGCCAGGACATCAGCGCCGACCTGGACGGGCCGCCGCACAGGCACTCGGCCAACGCGCGCCGCTGGTTGGAGCAGTACTACGTGGGAGAGCTGCGCGGGGAGCAGCAGGTACAGCCGGGCCGGGGCCCCCCACCCCAACCCAGGCCTCCCGCAGCCTTCCACTCCCGGGCGAGCCCCGTTCACCTGCCCTCTAGGAGGACCCAAGGTGCCAGCCTCTGCCTCCTTTCCCTCGCTTCCTCTCTCTTCTTTCCAGGCAACAGGTCATTGTCGTCTCCCCCAAACCCTCCTTCCTCTCTCCAGGAACTTGCTGTTCCCTTCCACCCTTACCGCCTGGCCCGCCTCCGTGCCAGCTCTCCCACTTCCCCAACACCCCTCCTTCCAGAGTGTTCCTTCTGCAGCCCCTGCCCTCCGACAACCTGGATTCCTGTTTCTGGCCCCAGCCCTCCCACACGCCCCGGCTTTCCTTCCTCTTCACTTACCGGCCTCTCCCTCTTTGCAACCACTCTCCGTTTCTGTTTGGATAATGGGCTCACCTGTTCCCACCTCCCCATCCCACCTCACTTCTGCTTCAAAGAGGCACAGATCAGTAGCTCTTCTCACTAGTTTGGGTTTCCTGGTGCCACCCTAGCCTTGCACCAGGGCTCCCCTGGGTGGGTGGAGAAGCCTGGGCCATGTCTGGGGTGTACTGTGTCCTCCAACCTCTCAGACCTTCCCTTATATCATTGTCCTAAACACTGGCTTGGGAGTCCAAAAGAGTGAAATGAAAGGCATGAGCCAGTTTTGCCAAGGAGAAGGGACTAGCACTTTGAACCAGACTGTGTGCTGAGCTGCACGCTGCTGTGCAGTACCAGCTCCCAGTGATACTTAAGTCCGTAACTGAACCTGGGGCAGGTATTGTTATTCCCATTTCAGGATATGGAATCTGAGGCTTAGGGAGGCTCTGATTAATGCGCCTAAGGTCAAATAGCTAAATAGTGGGAAAGCCACATGTATCTGACTCCAAAATCAATGCTGGCTCCATCCCAAAAATCTTCGGGTGGGGGAGACAGACCTAGTACACAGGATTCCAGGTAGACTCAGGCCAGAAGCAAAGTGACTCTCTGGGTGTTCCCAGGCCTGGTTCTTGGACTGGTGACTATGGGGCCGTCATGCCTAGATATACAGTAGTTTCCCCTTGTCCAAGGGGATACATTTCAAGACCCTCCGTGGATCCCTAAAACCACGGATAGTACCGAATCCTATATATGCTATGTTTTCCCCATATATACATACCTATGATAAAGTTAAATTTATAAATTAAGAATAGGAAGAGATTAACACCAATAATAAAATGACAGTTATAACAATATGCTGTAATAAGAGCTATTTGAATGTGGTCCCTTTCTCTCAAAACATCTTATTGTACTGTACTGTGATGATGTAAGATGTAACATGAGGCAGGGCATGGTGACTGACATTTGTAATTCTAGCACTTTGGTAGGCCGAGGTAAGAGGATCACTTGAGCCCAGGAGTTCAAGACCAGCCTGGGCAACATAGGGAGACCCTGTTCTACAAAAAATACCAAAATTAGCCGGGTGTGGTGGCACGTGCCTATAATTCTAGCTACTTGGGAGGCTAAGGTGGGAGGATCACCTGAGAGGTGGAGGCTGCAGTGAGCCATGATCGTGCCACTGCACTCCAGCCTGAGCAACAGAGTGAGACCCCACCTCAAAAAAAAAAAAAGATGATAAGATGCCTACATGATGGGTTGGAGTGAGGTGAATGACAGGTATGGTGATGTGGCATTGGCTACTATTGAAAACTAATTTAAAACTTATAAATTATTTCTGGAATTTTCCATTTAGTTATGTTTTTGGGCCCAGGTTGACCGTGGGTTACTGAAATCAAGGAAAGTGAAACCATGGATAAGGGGGACTCCTGAAAACCAACAGTTGTCCCCTGCTTCTAGCTCTTGCTTTCAAGATGAGCCCAGCAACTATTCTTAGATTTTTGGTTGAAAGGACTTAGCATCCACTGTTTCAGGTGGCTTTTCATTGGGCCATCCTGCCTAATTTCTCCATCATTTATTCAGTCATGTAACTGGTTCCTTAATGGGTTGACAGCACTGTGCTAGGTGTGGGGAGATATCAATGAACAAAATCAATTCGGTTCCTGTCTTCATGCAGCTAACAGGAGGGAGAGGGAACATACAGATCACATAGTAGTTGCTTAGTTAATGGTGTATCAGAGTATGGATCTAGAGGGGAGGAGCATAGAGAAAGCCTTCTTGAGAAAGTCACATTGACACTGAGAGCTGACTGATAGGCTGGGTTTAACCAGGTGATGTGTAGCAGGAAGAATATTTCAGACAAAGGGGACAGACAGCATGTGTGAGGGCTCTGGCAGGAAGAGCTTGACATAGTAAAAGACTGGAAATAAAACCAATGTGGCCAGAGGATGACGGGCAAGGACAGGGATGTGGGGGGCAGGCCAAAAGTCAGCCGGGGCCACATCACACAGGGCTTCATAGGCTGTGGTCAGGATTTGGGACTTGACTCTAACAAAAATGGGAAGCCAGGTGAGCCTGGGAGGTGGAGGTTGCAGTGAGCCAAGATCGCGCCACTGCACTTCAGCCTGGGCGACAGAGCAAGACTCCATCTCAGAAAAAAAAAAAAAAAAAGAAAGGGAAGCCAGAGAAGAGGTTCAGGCAGGGTTCGTGGTCAGATTTGCATCTTTGGAAGAGGACCCTGGCTGCAGTGTCAAGGGGGAACGGAGAGAGCCTAAGTGGGTATGAGGAGATCGGGCAGGACGCTCCGGCATGGCTGCCACTGCAGTGGCTGTGACCACGGGGAGAAGGGGGATGAAGATGGGAGAGTCTCTAGACAATATGCTGGGACAGCATTCTGTGGTGAGAGCCCAGTTTAATCTTAGAAGTTGGTGTTTGGTGTCAGGTTGTGCTGAAGGGTTTAGAAGAAGATATAAGAAAAACTGAATGCAGGAGGCCGAGCGTGGTGGCTCCCACCTGTAATCCCAGGAATTTGGGAGGGTGAGGTGGGCAGATCACTTGAGGTCAGGGGTTTGAGACCAGCCTGGCCAACATGGTGAAACCCTCTCTCTACTAAAAATACTAAAAATTAGCTGGGTGTGGTAGTGCGCTGGGCGTGGTGGTGCACTCTCAGCTACTTGGGAGGCTGAGGCATGTGGATCACTTGAAGTCGGGAGTTCAAGATCTGCTTGGGCAAATGGTAAAATCTTCCCTCTGCTAAAAATACAAAAAACTAGCTGGGTGTGGTGGTGCACGCCTGTAATCCCAGCTGCTTGGGAGGCTGAGGTAGGAGAACTGTTTGAACCCGGGAGGCAGAGGTTGCAGTGAGCCGAGATCGCACTACTGTATTCCAGCCTGGGCGACAGAGTGAGACTTTGTCACAAAAAAAGAAAAAGAAGAAAAGAGAAAGAAAAACGAAAGGAAAGGAAAAAGAAAAGAAAAACTGAGTGCAGGAAATAAGAGAGGTTGAGACTGACAGGTTTGCGGTGGCTCATGGGGCCTGCCCTGTGTTGTCACTGTATCCTCTGGACAGGAACCTTAGGGTGTGGCTCATCCTCCCAACACCATCCTGAGTATTCTTACAGCCACCCATGGCCAGCTGCCCTGGATGGCCCCACCTCCCGGCTCTGCTAACCACCTAGCACCATGGTTTGCCTTGTCTGACCCTCAGAGAGGGGCCCAGGGACCCAGTCTCACACGTGCTTCTGACCTGCATGCTCGTCTGTTAGCTAAGATCCCCAGTGCGGGCCGTGCTGCAGACATCCTTATTTCTGGGCCCCAACCTGAGCATGTGGAACAAAACTCAAAACAACGCACCTGCAGACACATGGCCCAAGCTTAACAATGGTCACACTAGCCCAGCACTCCACTGGGCTGCCAGCTTCTGCCTTCAGAGTTCTAAGAACTAGTACAGGGTTCTCTTTAAATTGAGAAAGAGGAAGACTTGGCACAGTGGCTCATGCCCATAATCCTAGCACTTTGGGAGGCCGAGGTGGGTGGATCACTTGAGCCCAGGAGTTTGAGACCAGCCTAGGCAACATGGTGAAACCGCGTCTCTACAAAAAATTAGCTGGGTGTGGTGGCTTGTGCCTGCAGTCCCAGCTACTCAGGAGACTGAGGTGGGAGGATCACTGGAGCCCAGGAGGCGGAAGTTGCAGTGAGTCAGATCACACCACTGTACTCCAGCCTAGGTGACAGAGCAAGACCCTGTCACAAAAAAAAAAAGAAAAAAAGAAAAAAAACTTGTGGGAGAGGTTGTCAAAGGAGAAATCTGGGGGTGGGATATCCTTTCAAAGAGATGCCTGGATGGAGACACTTTCTGTTCTTCTCCCTAGCTAAGCCCTTCTAGCAAGCCCCAAGCTGCCTTTTGCACTTCCCATCTCTCCTGCTGGACCAGGGATGCTGACACCCTTGTGGGTAGAGCCCTCTGTCTCTGGAGGAGCCGGAGGATTTTGCTGGGGAAGGGGAGTGCCATGAACCAACTCTGTTGTTTGGGGCTCGTTTCTGAATGGTGCCCCTCCGAGGGACCTGTCCTGCTGGTTTAGCCCTTGGATGGGAGCATCCTGGCCCTTCCTCCAGGGAGAAGACCTGGTCCCGTTTGTTCCCCCTGCACCTAACTTTGATGCACCCTCTCTATGTACACACATTC